CAAAAACAGGAAAAAAGTCCTTCAGAACAAGCATATCTGTGTAGGTGCCTCTGCTCAGCCACAAGCCACCACCGCAGAGAGGGGGAGAGGGTGTGAAGTGGAGATGGAGCCAGATTCCGCCGGTGCCGCGGTGGGAAGCTGGTGTGGGGCTGCCGGGGCGATGGGGATGTGCTGCAGGAGAACTCAGTCCCGAGGAGGAGGATTCCTCCCACTGCCAGGTGCTGGGGAGCCCAGCACCCATCCCGACATGGGGAGATCCTGGCTGGAGAGTAGTGCAGAGCTGGGGCTTTTGTTGAATGAACACACAGGTTTTGCCTTAATTCTCTCCAGGAGAGTTGATGCCAGCAGATGCTTGTGTGAGGAGGCAGGTGACAGTAACAGTCTGAGGAGTCACAGATGATGGCCAGGACAGGTCCCTCACCTGGCTCCCCGAGTCTTCCCTGCCCTGGGGGTTAGCACCTCTTGTCTTTGGCGCCAGCAACAATTCCAGCTGTGTTGCTCTGAGCTGCAGGTCAGGGGTCTGTAGCCACCCCACCAGCCTTCCCTGATGCTTTTCTAAGCTGCTGTGTGTCTTTGAAATTGGGCTGTGTTGAAAATTCGGCAATGCAGGAGGCAAAGAAGGTGCTGGGGGGGTTGCTGGGACCCCCACAGCCCTTCCCAGAGGACAGGAGCTGCTCGATGCCACCCACTGAGCCCTTCACAGTGGCCACTGGGTGCTGGCCATGGCTAACAAAGACTCAGAACCCCAGGGCTCTGCAATCTCACACCAGGGACCTTGTGCAAAGAGCCTCAGGATTCCTCGCAGAGCCTGGAGCTGGGGAAGGAATACGGATGAATTTCTTTCCATCTCTCCAAGCATCTGGGAGGTGGGTGGGAGGTAAAAAAAGATGAGCCCTGAAGTTTTAATTCCTTGGAGATATTTAGGTATCTTGCTCTTGTTACTCAGGGAGTGCAGAGCCTGAGCATCTCTGGGATGTGCCACAGGCTCCTACCCCAGCACTTCCCAGCTCAGCTCGGACCTCTGGTTCTCCAAAATATTATTTGTCGGAGAACTTAGATCACAATGACTGCCATTGCCTCCAAATGGGTTTGGTGTGATGTGGTGTCTTTAGGAAGGCCATTACTGGAAACCACAACTTGGGAGATAACTCACTTGGATTTATTGGGAGGAGTAGAGAGCTGAGGGCTGGAATGTGACCTTGACTCCTCCTGGCTGAGCCAGAATTAGGGAAGCAAGGAATTTTGTTCTCATTTAAGAGAGGTCTTAGCTCATCCTCCCCAGCCTGAGTCTTCCTTTGCACACACTAGTAACACCCAGAATGGTCCCTGGAAAACTGTTCCACTGGATGAAAAGTAATGAGATTTTAACGCCGTAACTGGAGCTCTTTAGTCTTCTGGCTCGCCGGGCTGGGATCGATATTCTTGGCCATATTTACACCATCGTACTTCCCTTGCAACCCCCTCCCTGTTCCCCCCTGGCCCTCTCTGGGGAAAAGGGCTCTGAGAGGAAAACGACCTGAGATCAAATCAATTAATTGCCTCTGCATGCGCCGATAACTGCGGTGCCGGGAGCTCAGTGTGTGCAGAGAGACACGAGGGAGCAGAGCAGGGGAACCACAACACCCTGCCCTGGGCCCTGGGGGGAGCAGGGGCTCCGGGGGGAGCCACCACTCCCATTATCCATCGTGCACTTGGTGGAGCTCCCAGCTGGGGGGGATGGAAGGGATCGAAGGGTTCCGCGGAGCGTGGGATGCAAACGGCCCCGCGGGTGGGGCAGGGAGGGAAGGGGTGCCCGTAGGAACCAGTGGCTGCAGAGTGTGCTGGGAGAGTCCATCGCTTCCAAACCAAAGCTGGGGTCACCTAAAGATGGGGCTCACTGCAGGGAGCCTGGAGCTGCTGGGCAGGGACAGGCTGCAGGTACCTCACAGCCCACGGTCCCATCGCTGACACCTCCAGCGTGCCCTAGAAGATTTCCCAGCTGGAGAGGCTCCCCTGCCATGCCTGCAGGTCCTCAGGGCACCCCTGGATTAAAGTGAGACCATTGCACAGAGAGTTTGACCTGCAGCTGGGTGAAGGTGGGGCAGGGTGTGGGTGGATGTGCTCTGCTCCTGGCCGGGGGTATGTAGCTGCTGTGAAGGGTGAGGAGAGAGGAAGCACCCAACTGGTGGCAGAGGTGGGGTTGCTCACACTAACCCTGCCATGACCAGGTACCCCTGGCACCCCACAAGGCAGGAGGACCAGGAGAGGCAGAGCAGGAGACCCCAACTGGGGCTTGGTAGTCTCAGCTCCTGACTGAGTTCCTCCAGCTGCTCCCCTCTATGGAGCAGCTCTGTTGTCAGTGTGGAAGATGCTGCAGGAGGGTCGGGAGGTGCTCTGGCTTCATGGTGGAGGTTCTCATGTAGCCTGGGCAGGGCGTGCAGTGCCACAGCACACAGCAAGTGTTTGAAGAACAGGCTTGTCCCTGTGCCACCATGAGTGTCTTGGTGGTGGAGAGCACAGCCCATCCCCAGTGCTCCTCTTCCCACCTGCTCTGCCTGGCTCACCCAGGCACGCACACTGGTGATGTTGCTGATCTGTTCTCTGACTTGTTCAGGCTCAAAGTGCCACCTCAAGGGCTGTGCCTCTCTCCCTGGGCGTGGCAGCAGCACTTCTCACTGCCAATGTGTCCATGTTGGCCGCAGGAGAGCACTGAGGCAGTGGTGGGTTGTGCAACTGCAGATGCTTTTCTGGAAAAGAAAACAGGGATGTAAGATGGAAGAGCTGTGGAACGTGGCAAAGGATTACGTTGCAGGCTTTGGGGCTGGCGCATCTCCAGCTGATTCAGAACATTGTTCTTATGTCTCCTTGCCGGTGCCTGTTGGCCAGGCACCATCCCAGCCTGTCTGTGGGTCTGGGGGAGCCCAGCACGTGTCCTTGCATGAGGGAGCCGAGCTTGTCAACCTGCTGGATGCACTCGGGGGTTCTGGAGCAGAACCCAGCTGGAAGATGGGACAGGCAGGTGTAGTTCCTCCGTGCTGCCCAGTGCTGGGGCGGGTGAAGGGAATCAGCAGGTCGGGATCCCTGCACAGCCCTGGGCTCGGGGCAGAGCCGTGCCGGGCTCCAGTAGGGAAGTGTGGAGATCAGCCAAGCTGCCTAATTGGGATTCATCCTAATAGGGAGAGGAAATTAGCCAGATCCAGCACCGAGACAGCCGAGCAGGGAGCAGGTCCCGGCGGCAGCGCTGCCTGCAGACAAACCAACCCCGGGGTGTGATTCACACTCACGGCCTGGAGCTGCGGCACAGGCACGGCCAGCGCCCGGGAAAGGACTCAGGAGCAGGTTGGGATGTGCTGGAGCCACCAGCCTGGTGTGCTCCCAGCTGGGAGAGGAGTCTGACTGCTGTCAGCATGGGGAGAGGCGGCTGGGGTGGGACCAGCACGAGCCACACTAGTGCCGTGCCCAGGGCTGTGCCCACCACTGGATCCACACCTGGTGCTGGAGAGGCGTGCCCAGGCAAGGTGTGAGCAGGGGCTGAGGCTGCAAGTGCCCAGAACAAGTGTCTGAGCCGTACCTGAGCCAGGACACATCCCAGTGAGACAGCATCCCAGTGAGACAGCATCCCGGTGAGACAGCGTCCCAGTGAGTCCTGCTCTGGCCAGCACTGGAGCAGGGCATCCTCTGCCTGAGCTCACAGCTGTGGCCTTGGATCTGGCAGGGCCAGAGGCAGCCAGGAGCAGTGATCCAGGAGCAGGTAATCTGGCATCACTGCTGCCTCGAGATCTTGCTAAAGAAATGTGGACAGAGCAGGAGACTCCAGAAGCTGAGGACCTAGACAAACCCCACTTCTTTGCTGTCCATGATGTGGTATTGCTGCTGTCACCCAGGCCCAGCTATAAAGCTGGGAGAGGAATACCTGGAGTTTCATCTGCCATCACCAGGGGACGGGGAGCTGATGGCTGAGGATGTGCCATGTAGCCCAACTGCCTGGAGGGCTGATTCCCCAGCCAGGACCCCGAGCAGCTGCTTCATCCATCCCCAGAGCCATTTCCAGCCACAGCTCCCCGAGGCAGGACTCTATCCTCAGGGAGCATTTTGGAGGTCAGAGGGGGCTTTTTGGGATTTCAGCCTTGTTGTGGTATGTGTTTGGAGGCTGAAGTTGTGTGTCAGGTGGCTCAGCATTGTCATGGCAACGAGCATCAGTTGATGAACAGAGGGAATAAAGGAGCCAAAATAAATGTCAGAGCGTGAGATAGTTGCAGTGGAGCTGGGGCTGCCCCCCTGCCCACCCCCTCCCCCTGGGCGGGCGGGCACGTTGCCCTGCCTGTGCCCACTCAGAGCAGGGCTCAGCTGGTGCAGCCCCACTCTGGCAGTGCCTGATGGCTGGAGAGCAAAGGGACACGTGGGGGGTGACTGTGGGGCAAGTGGGGCAGAGCCTGCTGGCTCTGGGTCCCGGGAGAACGGGGGTGGAAACCAAAAGCTGAGGGGAAGAGGAGGCTGGGGGCTGTGCTGTGCAGCTGGTGTGTCCCCGCTGTGCCCAGTGCATCCCCTTCTCCCAGAGTTCCCAAAGCAACGGGAGCAGGCGGTTCTCCCTCGGATGCCGTGTCTCCCTCTGGATGACAGCTTGCCTCCCCCAGAGCTTCAGCTCCAGGCTTTAATTGATGCCTGTCACGACGCTCAGCTCCCCTGAGCGCGGCCCGAGAGCGGGCAGGACGCTGTGAGGGTGGGATTCTCCTGCCTGGAGCCCTGTCCCCTGGGAACACGTCTTTCCTGCTCCCATGGGAGAGGGGACAGAGCCAGCATGACCTGACCATGTGCTCCAGTGCCACTGTGATGAGGGGGCTCCCCTTTCTCTAGGGAGATGCTGCAGTTCCTCTCACCTCCACCTTTCCCCTCCAGAGGAGTCCCACGCTCTGCCTCAGTTTCCCCATTTAAAACACCCAGGCCTCTGGGCTGCTGCACATCCTGCAGAGCTCCAGCCAGTGCGGGGAGGTCTGAGTGTTCCCTGGCTTGTGTGTTCCCAGGAACCTTCCGAGGAGTGTGCAAGAAAATCGACCACTTCCCTGAGGATGCAGACTACGAGCAAGACACGGCCGAGTACCTCCTCCGTGAGTTCTGCTTCCCCACAGGGCACGTTCCCTGGGCACCCCTAACCCTCCCTGCAGGGCACCCCCATCCCAGTCCCCCAGCCTCACCCAGCAGGTCCCCCCAACCCGCTGGCAGGAGGCTGATGGGTCTCAGCCCCCCTGGCTCCCCGTGCAGCAGCAGTGACCCTCAGGTTACCCGACACGGCCACGTGTCAGTGGCACCTTTGTCCCCATGGCCAGTCCCAGGAGCTGCTGCACGGCCTGAGCTTGTTGGGGTCCCCCCAGAGGGGACTGGGACCCCGTGTGTCTGTGGTGCAGCACTACAGGGGTTCGTGTTCATGCCCTGTTGGTGCTGGTGTCCCTGTTCCCAGAGCCTCCAGCCAGGCTGGATTTGCTGGGAGAGCACAATGAGCATCTGCCACGTGCTCTGCAGTGGCAGCCGAGTGCAGGGAGACAGAGGGAAATCAAACTGGCAGCTCTCCTGGGAAAAGCAGGTTCTCCTGTCTCTGGTGCGAGCAAACCCTCAGGGCAGAACCACACAGAGAGTCACAGAATCCTGGAATGGCCTGGGTTGGAAGGGACCTTAGTATTTAAGTATTTTCCAGTCCTACCCCCCTGCCACGGGCAGGGACACCTTCCACCAGCCCAGGTTGCTCCAAGTCTCATCCAGCCTGGCCTTGGACACTTCCAGGGATCCAGGGGCAGCCACAGCTTCTCTGGGCAACCTGTGCCAGGGCCTCCCCACCTTCCCAGGGAAGAATTTCTTCCTTATATCTAACCTAAATTTCCCCTTTCAGGGGAAAAGATGGGGACCCCTGAGGCTGGGTGAGGTTGACCCCCCAGAGCAGGGGCACAGTCCCTTCAGTGCTCTGCAGACATGGGTGTGAAGGCACTGGGACACCTGGGGACAGAGCCTGGACACAAAGGACACCCCCAACATGCAAAGCCACACGAGCAAGGACTGCCCAGCCCGTCAGCAGCCACGTACGTGTGTGACAGGCTGTGGGACCTGCACAGCTGAGGGTTCATTCCAACACCTGTGTTTCCAAACAAGAACATATGGCAGCAGGAGCACGTGGCAGCCTCGGAGGCGGTGGCAGCCCTGGGTGCTCTCTGAGCCCCAGGAATCCCAGGAGAAGGGCCCTGTGCCCGGTGCTCAGCCCCAATCCCCCGCCCCACCCAGCTGCTGTTCCACCAGATGTTGCTCTGAACTCCCCAGTTCCCACAGCTCTGCTCACCAAGCAGAGAGGGGAGGGGTTTGGATGGAATAGGTTTGCAGTTTTAGGAGATTAGCATTGAACTTCTCCCACCCCCTCCCACATTTAAAGTAAAAAGTCTATTTTAAAGCCCCCAGAGTGGCATTTTAATGGGGCCTCTCTGTATTTCTGTGCTTTAATAACAGCCCTAATCGAGGGATGAGAGCCCAAACCAAGGCACAGTGTATTTTTGGTGCAGCAGGTAGTGATTTGCTGTATTCATTACTCTCTACTGTCATTTTGGAAGCTGATCCATTCAGGAAAGACCCTTCTTTGTGTAGGGCCCAGTCAGTGACTCCTGAGCGTGCAGAGACTGGCACTGCCAGAGCTGATCCTGTGGGATGGAGCCCAGTGCCAGGGTCACTGTATCATGCTGGGCTCCAGGGCCTGGGCTCTCTGTTCATTTTGAAAATGTTCCTCTTCTACATCAGAAAATTACTTTTTGTTGAACTTGAGGTGTGTTAGTTTGCAAATTTTGGCTTTCAAAGCAGCTGTGGCAGTTTGGGCCCTACAGGAAAGGTTCCTGACCCTGTGGTTGGCAGTTCCTCCCCAGCCTGGTGAGATCCGTGTGGTTCCTGCCACCCCAGACTCCAGAGGAACATCCACAGCTGAAACCTGTGGGTGGTGTGTTTGGTAATGGGAAGGTAAATTGCTGGTGCTGAGTGTGTGACAAGGCTGGAAAAAATAGCCCAGGAGGTGGGGGGAAAAGAAATTCAGGGATTAAGCTGTTCTTGTGGCTGGAATCACGGGGCCTGCAGGGCTGGTGTTGGGATCTGGAGCAATAGAGATACCGGGAAGAAATTCTCCCCTGTGAGAGCAGTGAGGCCCTGGCACAGGTTGCCCAGAGAAGCTGTGGCTGCCCCATCCCTGCAAGTGTCCAAGGCCAGGTTGGACGGGGCTTGGAGCAACCTGGGCTAGTGGAAGGTGTCCCTGCCCATGGCAGGGGGTGGAATGAGATGATTTCCAAAGTCCCTTCCAACCCAAACCATTCCAGAATTCCATGCCAAGCAGAGGATGCACAGTGGGGACCCATGCTGGGTCTCCCCACCCTCCTGGCAGCCCCAGACCTGCCCTTGCACTGCTTCGGGTGCAGGCACTGGGAGGGTGTCGGCAGCCCCTGCCCCAGGAGCTGATCCTGCCCTGCTCCCTGTCCCACAGGAGCAGTGAGAGCATCCAGTGTCTTCCCCATCCTCAGCGTGGGGCTGCTGTTCTTCGGGGGCCTGTGCGTGGCCGCCAGCGAGTTCTACAAGAGCAAACACAACGTCATCCTCAGCGCCGGCATCTTCTTCGTCTCCGCAGGTAGGGGCTGCCCGGGGGCTCTGCCAGCCTGGGGGGACAGGGGTGACTGAGAGATGGGGTGTGGGTCCTTCCAGGCCATCCCCACAGATTCTGGGGTTTGTGAGCTGTCCCATCCAGGTGGGAAAATCCCCTCTGCAGGGATGAACCATCAGGGGTCGCTGGCCTCGGTCGCTGTGCTGGACAGCACTTCAAGCATCCACCCTGCCCTGTGCCAAGCAGGATCCACGCGGGTGCTGCAGCCTGGGAAGGGTGGCAGCTGTCCCACTGGGGGATTGCCCGGCCCCCAGACCCATCTGGGGGGGCCCTGTCAGTCAGCAGGCACTGTGCTGGCAGCAGCAGGACCAGGCAGAGGGGCTGCCGCAGTCCTACATGGAAATCACTCTCTGGAGAGGCCGTTCCTGCTGGATTACTCATTCCTCTGTGCTGTTCCCCAACACTTCCCCTGATTATCCTGTGACAATGTCTTTGTCTCAAGGAACCGCTCTATTTTGTGTTTTTCTTCTCCCCACAAAGAGACAAATGACTCTCCCTCCTTGGCTGGCAGGAGCTGCTGATGCAGATGAGAAAACAGCAGAGAGAACATAATCGATTCATTAAGTAAATCCGGGAATGCACCAGCCACTCCCCAGCCCTGCAGCACAGCCCCACTGGCTGCTGGCAGGGCACAAACTGCCCCCATCTCAAATAAAGCCCCCGGGCTCCAGCAGAAATGGAAAGACCTGGAGCCATTCCAGCTTCCCTGTGCTCCCATGGGTCATTGCAAGCTGGGGTTTGTGCTGGAGGGATCCCTCTGTGCCCCTCGGGATGTCTCTGCTCTGGCCACAGACCGGGCTCCTGTGGTTCATTGCTCAGCAAAGCAAAGCACAACGAGCTCTTGAAATGTCCCTTTTCTAAACAAAATAGTGGTTGTTCCTTCTAACCTTCCAATATGCAGGAATATACAGATATACTTGGTGTATACAGTTATATTGGGATGGCAGAGGTCTGTGAGGGGGTTTGGCCGCAGTGTGCTGGCAGAGGGGTTGGTGCCCCACGGGGACACATCCTCCCATCCCGCTCCTGCCACTCAGGTGAGTGCCCGTCCCTCGTCCTCCCCTGCAGGGCTCAGCAACATCATCGGGATCATAGTGTACATCTCGGCCAACGCGGGGGACCCGGGGCAGAGCGACTCCAAGAAGAGCTACTCCTACGGCTGGTCCTTCTACTTCGGGGCCCTGTCCTTCATCATCGCCGAGATGGTGGGGGTGATTGCCGTGCACATGTACATCGAGAAGCACCGCCAGATCCGCGCCAGGTCCCACTCGGAGCTGCTGAAGAAGTCGGCTTTCACCCGCCTCCCCCCCTACAGGTACCGCTTCCGCCGGCGGTCCAGCTCCCGCTCCACCGAGCCCCGCTCCCGGGACATGTCTCCCATCAGCAAGGGGTTCAGCACCATCCCCTCCACCGACATCTCCATGTTCACCCTCTCCAGGGATCCCTCCAAGGTCACCATGGGGACGCTGCTTAACTCGGAGCGGGACCACGGTTTTTTACAGGTCCACAACTCCATCCCCAAAGAGTTCAAGGAGTCTTTGCACAACAACCCGGCCAACAGACGAACCACGCCGGTCTGAGGCGGGCAGGGCCGTGGGCAGGCTGCATGGCATCACCCTCGTGACGGTGTAACCCGTGAAACCCCGTTTTTAAGGACAAACCCAGAGGCTCCCCGAGCCCCCGCCCGCGGGGCTGGTTTTTCACTCCTGGAAAAGCCACCGGCCGGGCCAGGTGGCCACGGGGGGACGGGACCCCCGGTGGGGAGGGGACAGGGCCGTGCTGGGACCCTGGCCCTGGCGCCCTGCAGACTGAGCGGGGCTCCAACCCCCCTGGGCCAGCGGCTTCCCGAGGTCTCCATCGTTCGTGTGATCATAACCGCAGTGTTCCCGTAGCTGTGTGTCCATGGAAATGCTGGCGATAGCCCCGTCCGTGAGAACCCTTAACCCGGTAGTTACATTTAAGTGGAATCGCCTGGAAGTCCGGAGCTGGAAGCACTGAGCTGGTGCCGGAGCGATGCTCGTGTTCCAAACCCCCTCCCCTGTCGTGCTGGACGGAGTGCTCGGGCTGGGTTCCTCTATGGCGTTTCGTGCATGCATTAAATAGCTTGGAATTCAATTTTGTCATGTCGGGTTGGAAGAAACATCCTTTTGCAATTTTCTGTGGTCTTGAAAGGGCTTTTTTCCTTCCTTCCTTCCTGCCTTCCTGCTTTCCTGCCTTCCTTTCTTCCTTCCTTCCTTCCTGCCTCCCTTCCTTTCTTCCTTCCCACGAGAGGACTCAGGAGCAGAATTTCTCCAGTGACTGGTAGCAAGTATCCAGCGTTTAATTCACCTCTAACGTTGCAAGAAAATGAATTAATTCCCTACAGTTGATACACAGCAGTCAGAGATGACTGTCTGGGCACAGCCAAGGAGGCAGAGCGTGGTCGTGGTGCTGCGGGAGCAGCTGGGGCCGGCCGGGCCGCGGCCGCACGCGGGTGGGGTGGGATTCCCGGATGGTTGGGAGATCCGTGAGAAAAACAACAATAAAATAGTCCAGTTTGGCAAGTTCCTTGGCTGCATAGGTCACGCTGACCCCGCTGTGGGCACCGGAGGAGCGCGCGCCGGGGCTGGCAGGGAGGAGGGGGGTCAGGCTGGGAACGCCAGGGCACGTGTGAGCAGGTGGAGGTTTGGCTTTAAACCCTCCCGCTGGACCAGAGCTCCTCTAAACGGGGGCAGTTTTGAAGCAGCTGGTCTGTGATGATGTGTCACTTAATTGAAATCTTATTTAATGTTCTGACAGAAGCGATGGATTCCCACGGGGTCCCCGGGGGTGATTTGGGGGCAGCGAGGCTCCCGTTTGCTCTTCACAGAAGGGAAACATCTGGTGCCTGGTGTGTGTGTGTCTTTGAGCAGCCCTGCCCTGGGTCTCCTGCCCAAAGTCAGAGTGTGGCTGGTCACGGGGCACATCCTAATTCCATCTGGGAATAACGGTCAGGTCACTGTGGGAAACCTGGCACAGGAGCTTTGCTGGAGTGAAATCCTTCCTGGAGCTCTGCAAATGGCCCCAGGCAGGGCCTTCTGCCCCTCAGCACAGGGCTGCAGGCACGTTCTTCATTGAATCCCAGAATGGGTTGGGTGGAAAGGACCTTAAAGCCCGCCCAGTGCCACCCCCTGCCATGGGCAGGGACACCTTCCACCAGCCCAGGTTGCTCCAAGCCCCGTCCAACCTGGCCTTGGACACTTCCAGGGATCCAGGGGCAGCCACAGCTTCTCTGGGCAACCTGTGCCAGGGCCTCCCCACCCTCACAGGGAAGAATTTCATCTGCCTCCCCCTTATTTGCTGTTATTTTGAAGGGGGTTGTTCTGAGAAGGCTGATTCAGATGATAATTAGGCCTCTTAATTGCCTGTAGTTGCTGATTGCATGTGTTAAAAACAGTCAAGGAAGGGTAGCACCCGGATCTTAGGGCAATATTTAAAAACAAAGTAGTGGAAGGGCTGGAAGCACAAAACATAGAATAGAGTGGAGTGGAACAGTTCAGCCGGGAGGGACCTGCACTGACCCCCTCAAACTGCCCGACCAAAAGCTGAACCATGGCCTTAAAGGCACTGCCCAAACGCCTCTTCAGCCCTGTCAGGCGTGGGGCACTGACCCTGCCCAGGCAGGGAGTGAGGCCCTGTGGGCACAGAGGAGCCGGGTCAGTGCTCTCCCAGCACGGGCTGTTTGTTTATGGATGCAGAGCAGCCCGTGATTGAAGGTGTTTACTGCCACGTGTAATATCTTTCCTTTGTGCCCATGTCTTTCCCCTGGAAGAGAAAATCGATACCCGGGCTAAATCTGGAGGCCTCAATATTTCTCAGAGAAGTGCAAATCAATATGGATTTCTTAACAAGTTTAATTTCAATACCTGAAAGTGCACATTCTGCCTATTTCCTGACCTTTCCAATCCTCGGGGGAGGAAGATTAAAAAGATTTGTTCAAATTCAACGAATTGAATCAGCAAATGCCCCATTACCTTGTTTTCTTTCCGCCAGCCCTTGATAAACAGTGTGATAGCCCATCGTCTGTGCGTGCTGCCAGCGCCGGCCCCGACACCAGCCACGAGGGCAGGCCGGGCATGGATCCCCATGGCAGTGCCTGGAGTCACCTCCATGGTGGGCAGGACAGCCCAGGTGGTGACAAAGGAGCCCAGTGTCACGTGCAGATACAGCTTCTGGGAGTGCCAGCAGACCCACATCCCACCAGCAAGCCCGATCCTCCCCTTGCTCCCGAGCAGGCTGATTTATGGTGCTGCAGTGCTCTATATTTATCCTACAATGGCTTTGTGCAGTGTTAGATCATCGTGGGAGCACTGTAAACACTGCAAAATGAACAGGAGCGTGTGGGCTCTTCTGGCCAGAGGAGAAGACTTTGGGTGATTCAGTCTTTGCCCTTGGAACGATCCCACAGTCGGGAGGAACCGGGACCATCCATCCCAGATGGCACCGCAGCAAACGTGCCAGCTGAGGTCGGGATCTGTTGTGCCAGTGCCAGGTACAGCAGCGGCCCCACCGTGGGTCACTCACAGCTCCCCAGGGGTGACACAGGACTCGGCATGGGGGGGACACACGGCTGGGGGCTGCCCCAGGGGGGCTGGGACCAGCCCTGCGGACACAGAGGGACCCAGCTCCAGCTGTGGGAGCTGTGGATGGCTCCTAGTGGTGGCTGGGGAGCTGCTCTGCTGGTGGCTGTGGGCTGCCTTTCCGTTTGCCTCCCCGGGGAGGGTTTAATTGCTGTGTTGGTGCTGTGATGACAGGCCCGGCGGGGAAGCGCTGTCAGCCCGCGGGAGCTGGCGCTGGCACAGAGCCCACGGAGGGAAGATGGCAGCTGGGTCCTGGCTGCAGCACACAGCTCTGCTTTTCACCCTTCCCTCCCTAATTCCACATCCACAGCAGGACAAGCACACAGCCCTCACCACCGTTTGCTGCAAAAGAGGCTCTCCAGCCCCTGTTCCTGCAGAGCTTTGGCTGTTCCTTCCTCGACATCATCCTTTGTCCTCCCTGGCTTTGATTTTTTGGGGGTTTTTTTTAGTGTTTGCCATAGTTTGTGAGAGGCTGGGTAAGGCCAAGTGATTTATATCGTGTGTTTATTATTTACTTGATGGACAGTAATGGCTTCTGTGGTGCCATTACTGTATGTCATCTAAATCCAAACGCTGAGGAGCTGTAAAGGGCAGCCTTTCACTTGGGGCTGGAATAGCTTCTCCAGCATCGTTATCCTCTGCCACGAGTGCCTGCACACCCATAAATCCCCGACTGACCCAGCTCTCAGTGGCCTCCCAGAAAATTTTCAACAAATAGGACTTTCAGCTGCTCTTTGCTAATAAACTCCCGTCCCTTTGCCATTAACCCCCAGACAGTCACCAGAGGAGAAAATCCTCCTTGACCCCCTGAGCTGGTGTTGGAGAAGGTCAGCAGGGGCTGGGCATGTTTGGGGAGGGTGGACTGGTGCTGTGTGGCCATAGCTGCAGCTCTGGGGCTGCTCCAGAGCTGGGGGAGCTCTGATGGGTGCCCTGGGAAACAGTGATGCAGGTAAGTGCAATTAGCAATTAATCATTGCAGGTTCTCATTGTCTGCTCCCGGCTTTCCAGCACCTGAAGGGAGCCTACAAGGAAGATGCAGAGGAACTTTTTACAAGAGCATGTAGTGACAATAGAAGGGGGAATGGCTTCAAACTGTCAGAGAGTAGGTTTAGATGGGATATTAGAAAATAATTTTTCCCTGTGAGGGTGGGGAGGCCCTGGCACAGGTTGCCCAGAGAAGCTGTGGCTGCCCCATCCCTGGAAGTGTCCAAGGCCAGATTGAACAGGGCTTGAAGCAGCCTGGGCTGGTGGAAGGTGTCCCTGCCGAGGTACTGCTCTCACTTTGCTGAATTAAAGTTTCAGCTTCTTCAATAACCTCCAGGTCCGCTGGAAAACTGCAATGAGTGGCATCAAGAAGCAACTCGGTAAGTTTATTTTGATGAAATACAATAATTATCATGCTTAGCAGCTGTTGCTATTTAAAATAAGAAAAAACGGGGCTTGCATTGAAAATGTTTTGTAAACCATGTGCACCAACAATCTGTTCCAATGAAACCAGCCATTATGGAAACGGTATAATAGCAGGAGCTCATTATGGAAAGTTAAATTGCAAATCATATTTTGTTTCAAATGAGCTGGATGAATGCATAATTTGCCTCAAAGAAATAGTTTTGTAGTTCTGATCCTCCTGCCAAGAGCTGAAGCTCTCGGGCTGCAGCTGCCGGAGTGGCCTGATTGTCCATTTCAAACTGCAGGAAGTTTGGGTTTCAAAGGAAGATCTGAAGAGAGAAAAGGGGGAAAAAAAGTGAAGGAATAAAAGGCAGAGCACTGGGAGCGCTGGGTTGGTTTCCTATGTGTGATCCTGGTGCCCGTGGGGCGGGCAGGGCGGGTTTAAAGCAAACCAAGGCCCTGTGTGGTATTGCCCATGTGCCCCACTGGAGCTGGAGCCAGACCCTGTGCCTGTGAGCAGAGCCAGGGGCTCGGCCAGGGCCAGTTCCCATGGGATCTGCACTGGCAGCAGACACTGCCAGCATGGCACAGCTCGGGGCTGCCTGCCTGGGTGGGAGCCACACGTGCCAGAGCATCATCTCTGGGGCTGGGATTGGGGTCACCCTGTGCTCCCCAAAGGCACAGCACTGGGGGGGCCCATGCAGACCTGAGCCCTGCCAGCTCTGGCTTCAGCTGGAGTGTCACTGGAGTGTCACTGGAGAAGCCACACGGACAACTCACAGGTGACAAACCCCCCGTTCCCACAGGACCTGCTGCACCAGCCAGGCTGCCAGGACTGCAGCTCCCGCTGCCTCGGGGCTGGCAGGCTCCAACTCCTGGTGCCCAGAGACCTGACCTACAAGTGCTGGCACGTGAGGTGCCACATGCACAGCTAATGGCATTTCCTTGTCCTGGGGCGGCCCCAGGGACGGGCAGTGATGGCACAGGGGCAGCAATGGCACAGGGGCAGCAATGGCACAGGGGCAGCAATGGCACAGGGGCAGCGGTGGCACAGGGGCAGCGGTGGCACAGGGGCAGCAATGGCACAGGGGCAGTGGTGGCACAGGGGCAGTGATGGCACAGGGGCAGTGGTGGCACAGGGGCAGTGATGGCACAGGGGCTGTGGTGCCATTGGTGGTAGATGACAGGCAGCTGGCCAAGCCCAGCTCCCTTGCCATGGGGGGCCATGGCCAAGCCCAGAAGCTGCCTGGCACCCACAGGACACGCGGGGTGATTGTCCCTTCTGGCAGGGGCACACATCACAGCTCCTGTGCCCCAGGCACCAGGTCCTCTTGCCAGAGTCCCTCCCAGCTGTGGTGGCTCTGCAGGACAAAGGAGCTGCCCTTCCCCTGCTCCCAGGCTGTGCCCAAGGCTCACCCCAGGCACCCCCTTCCCCTGCTCCCAGGCTGTCCCCAAGGCTCACCCCAGGCACCCCGGGGCTGCTCTGGTGTCCCCCGGCCCCGCTGCCGCATCCAGCCCAGCCCAGAGGCAGTTTCATTAAATATTAAACCCAGCAGCTGC